GCACATTCTGCTCCTAAGACACGACTGAATGTATGATCGACGGTAAGCAGTTTCCGCCATAGATCGCAGATCGGTCAGTCTACGACACCGGTGGTTGTAGTAATACAGAACATTATCAAAAAAGCGTGGAGCAGGGTCCCGGTTTACGGTTCGTCATCACCATTATTTGTTTGACGGCTAAAAGTTATGGTGCATTTTCATTTTAGTCTCTTGTTAGCAACAACTGACGATAGTCTGTATTTGTCAGCATCTGTGACCATGTCTGTCTCAACCAGTTCAAAACTTCCGCACATTTATACATTTCAGCACTGATTTTGCGTTGCCTGGATGCACTAACAACCGAAGACAGCATTCGTCAGGCATTCCAAGACATAGCTGACGTCAAAGTCCGCCAGTGTCACGTAATGAGGGATGACGTTACCCACGTGTCGCGGTGTTTTGCATTTGCTGAACTCCCTAACGTTGCCGACGCCTACAAGGTAGTTGACACAATAGTGAGGGAACACCAGCTCTTCGAAATCGAAGGAAAGGCTGTTGCGGTTAGTTACGCGAAAAATACCTTCAAGTAAGTCTCCCTGAGTCAATAAGTTAATGTCATAGACTTGCTTCTGCACTTTATAACGACTGCATGTTTTTGTTTCCAGTACCATTATGGCAACGTTGAAGGCAGAGGGGTCGTACAATGCTAAATTAAATGCCAGTCGCTCACTTTCCAGTGAATTGAGCAGTGCAGCTTCGAACAACATAGATTCTCAAACTGTGGCAAAGAACGCTGTCGCCGCCGGCCAGTATACCAACTCCATGGATGGGATTGCTGTCGCACAGGCAGCCATTCAGCAAAAGCAAACGGAAGCACAGATCGCATCAGTCATCGCAAAGTCAATCCACCAACCCGGAGACATTACCCAGGCCGCTGCCACCGTTGCTACTTTCCCTTTGCCCACCATGCCCTTCAATGCCGCAACAGCAGCTACTACTGTTTATCGTAAGTTGGTCACACTTGAAGCTATTCAGCCACTCCTAATAAATATTCCAACACT